TGTTCAATTGATTAAATTTAAGAGTCAGCGCTCCACACGTTTGCCAGCCCTGCTTTTGGTTTTGTCGTCCTACACATTAAAATAAATGCAAAAATGTTTGTTACATGTGAGATAAAATCCAAACATATTTATGTGACCGGACAATACGATTTTCAGAATGTCCAAATTTCCATGTAAGTTTCAAGACTCCTTGTAGTCTGTTGGGTCGTCAGCCCTTTTGGAGTTAGGGTACACGACCCTAATTACGACATAAACAGCCAGTTGCATAGACTTCCATTGAAATCCATTACTTTAAAGCGACATTATCAATACAAAATTGACATTATTAAACCATAATGGACGTTTGTGCAAATAAAGAAAAGTGCCTTTTTTGTTATATTGTTACTTAAAGAAAATCCTTACACATACAAGTTAAGGTTTTAACTAAGTTGGTACGTATGTAATAATTGTTTCTGAAATATACTGACGACAATAATATTTTGCAAGCTATATTGAATTAAATTTTTGGCTGTCTGTAAACGTGAATATATAAAGGTATTCATTATATATTTAATAATAATATAAATCACCATAGATTATTAAAATACGTCATTTCATTAAACGTTGATTTACAGCATATTCGTAAAGGCAAATTACTAGTTCGGCCGGTTGGAATTAAAAATTAACTTGATTATTTATTTAAACTAGTAGGAGTTTTGAATAATCATTAATGTGCGTCAGTCGAGGGACATATGTCTGATGTCACATTATTATTCAATAATAGATAGAATTTAAGATTCCAACAATAAATTTATTTCCATACCATAATTGAACTAACTTAGACATCATCATCAGCCCTTTTACGTCCCCACTGCAGGGGCTCAGGCTTTCCTTATAAATGGTTAAGGAAGACCAGGACCCTCCACGCTGGCCCAATGCGGATTAGAAGGTATTAACGACTGCAAATACAGCCGGTACCAACGGCTTAACGTGCCTTCCGAAGCACGAAGTAGCTCGAGATAATGATTTTTTGGTCACCCATCCCGTGACCGACCTTTGCAAAATTTGCATAACAACAACGATCGCGGGCCGCGACGCTTATCCTCTACGCCACCGAGCAACTTAGACATAGTATTATTAATATAAAATTATTATTACAACAAAACAAATATCTTAGTCAGGTAAAAGAAGAAAGATTTTAGATAGAATTGTTAACTTAGATTTAATAAAAGTATTTAATGTTAAAAATATTGGTAGTTAATGTATTTTTGTTAAACTCTTAATTATTTATGTATTGTATAATTTCCGAGGCAGCCTGTAATTAGAACAACGCCAGATAATTGTACATTATGAACTTTGTGACCTTTAGCATGTGTACATATAGTCTTGTTCATTTTCCAAATAAATAAATAAGGAACATAGGCGAAATAAAGACAAATATTATAATATTAATTCAATTCTACATTAAACAGTTTTATTTTCATTATGATTAACTTGACCGCTCCGTCGGTTTGTTTGTATGCGAGTCATTTAAAATCCAACTGACGGTTTTTCATATGATAAACACCAAATGGAGTAAATTCACGAAGAAGAATTATCTGTATAATTTATTTAGGTTTTCTTATAAGATATTGACATATAACTTGAACCTGTACTTAGTCTGCTTCGTGTCGCTGAATTTTATTATTAAAAAGAGAAGTTTATTTATTAATTACATTTACATTCCCGAAAAAAATTACATTTTCTATCTAGTGTCAAAAAGTTAAGAAAAAAATCATGGAGTCAAATCAATCTCGCAGTGAACTTCACCAGTAGACAAGAAATTAAAAGCTTGATCGTTATTTTAAATGTAATTTTAGTCAAAAACATCAATATACATTGAATTATATTGAAAGGGTCCGAAAACTATAAGAAACTGAGTTAAAAAAAATGAAAATGGGGAGTCCTTGTCCAGTCAAAGACCAAAATCGGGTGCAATGAACTCATGCACTTTTATGCAAAGTATACTAAAGGGCATGTATTACAATATTTATGCATTTTTTCCGGTGAAACGTAATCAAGATATAACACAATTGAATAAATAAAAATGTTATTTAATTTTGCTTTTATTAAATTTGTAAATATAAATAAAATATAACGTACCAATCCTTTAAAAAATCCAAATAGTATTTTCACAAGAAAACTAAAACACTGTATTTTAGTGCCACAACACTAATTAATAGGAATTTATGAAAAGCTCTCCACAGGCTGCGCAGGAGACGTTCGCGTTAACTATAACACCATTCACATGTGATTTGTTTGACCATACTAATATAAGGGGTCACGCCACAGTCCACACACAGTGACGGTGTCATATATTAAAAACCTTATTCATATACTGATACCAAGGTCGACTTCGTTTTACGATAGGTGCAAATCGGACGGAAATCCGTTGCGTTTCTTCCGTTGCCGTACATCAGAACTGAGAATTATATTACATAGCTGTTTTCTCGCAACTTCACATGCGTAGATTATATATATAATGTCAACTCCGTATGATGAAGTTACCGTATATAAGATTAGTTATAGTATATATTAGTTATAGTATATAAGATTAGTATCGGGACCTATTCGATGCAAAAAACAATAATATCTGTCCTGTTTATAATATAAGTACAGATGTCATATTGCACATTCAACCGAATATCCGCCAATAAGTCGAGAGTACTTACATATTCATTAGAGCTTAAGCATTAAAGTTTTTAAAGATATAAAAATACTATATTTGATTAAACAGTTTCATTTCTTCAATTTTATATTCAATATTATCGACGCTGGAAACCAAAATGGATAATTAGAGTGGAAAATATTTTTCCAAAAAAATGTTTTATTTCAGTATAAATTGACCAAGGCACATTTTATTTATTACCATGGATGTTTACAGCAATTATTTATCGAAAAAAATAATAGTTTTTCTGCTCTTAAGGACAATTTTGGTATTGCGGGTTACTACGTGTTTGCTTTCTAGCGTCGATATATTTAAGATGTTGGTAATAAGTAGTGTCCGACCGAAGCTTCGGCTTCGGCTTCGGCATCGGGCACCTTCGGCCAAAAAAACCATCTTCGGCGAAACCTTCGGTTTCGGCCCAAAGCTAGGCCGAAGCCGAAGGTTTCGCCGAAGGTCCGAGCTACCGTCGAGATTGAACGAACTGTTTCGAAAGACTGAGTGAGAGAGCGATGGACCGGTCGTGTTGGTAGAGACCGCGGGGAGTCAGGGCGATTGTGCACTACAATGAATTTTCAGGTCCGGCGGGCCGACTTTTTCCGGTCCCGAATGACATGAAAAACTCGGATGAGTAGCTTGTGCACTTGTCCGTTTTTTTCTGGAACGGAGTGGCACATTTTAGGGTAGCTCTCTGTGAAGCTACACGTCACTTACAATAGGCACGATGAGATTTTTGAAACGTTGGTAATTGCTTGCTCTATTACTGTACGTGCGAAGACGTAGAAGACAGGAAAAATATTCCTGGCACAGGCTAGCATTACTTACATATGGCCTGACATATCAGGCCGGAAAAAATCGGACCGCCGGACATGAAAATTCAGTGTAGTGCACAAGCACCTTCACTGTCAAATCTGTATTTCTAAATCAACTTCTATATGAGACAGTCAATATAACCTTCAATATTGAAGTTTTGAAATAATTTTAATATTAATTGTAGCTTGTAGACAATATTGAACAAAATTAATTACTGAGAAATTATAAACCATCGGCTTCTGCTTCGGCTTTTGCCGAAGGTTGTAGCGATTGCCGATTAATCGGCTTCGGCTTCGGCCAAAAATAGACCTTCGGTCGGACACTAGTAATAAGTAACACCCTCAGAATACAAACGAAAATTTTAAATATTTTTTCTACTTTTGCTTGCTTGTAATAGACCGTTTAATTATGTAAAACATTTTAAAGTTGGAGAGCGTATCCTTTTAGGATGAATTTTAAGGAAATAAACACTAGATATCTAGTTCCAGATAAGTAGTGTTGCTAAAATAACAAATAAAACAGAGTTTGTCTTTGATATGACATTTTCACTGTTTGAACAAAAATCCTTCTAAAGGTTTAGAGCATATGACCCACCCGCCTTAAGCTGATCAACAGCAACACACTCCTACACTTCACCGACTTTAACATTATAATATATTTTAATAGGGATATAACATTTCAAATATGTAATTAAAACTTTATAAGATTTCCATAGTCGAATGCCGTTGCGATTCCCGCTCTGATCATTGTAGAATTAAATAGAAAATAGAAATGAAAATTCGTGCTGCTTGGCAAAGTTATATGTTATATTACATAGGAAATGGATGATACTCCAAAAATATTATTACTATTTAAATAATAGGATATGGAAGACTGTTTTTTGATTTATTAAACCCTTCGTATCTTTAAAGTGCTAATTTTCGATGGACTCAAGTGACTCACTTTTAATAACTAAGAGGTTGTTTTTTAGAAATTCAAACATGCCAATAGTACCTATGTATATACCTATAACGTTAAAACGAAAACTAACACACTGAATTTGGCTTTCCCAGATTACGAGTAATAGTCGGCTTGGTACGAAACCATTTCTTCGCAAGTCCGACTCTCACTTGGCCAATAGTACCTATATACCTATAACGTTAAAACGAAAACTAATACACTGAATTTGGCTTTCCAAGATTACGAGTAATAGCCGGCTTGGTACGAAACCATTTCTTCGCAAGTCCGACTCTCACTTGGCTAGTTTCCTGTACAATTGTCAAATAAAATGTTGTTTATAGTGATGAAAAAGTTTTTACTCAACTGTTACACTACTATTACGCTGAATAGTGACTTCCAAATAATATTTAAAGAACCTTTGAAGTTTCGTAAGACCAACATCAATAGCTAAGTAGTGATATAGAGACGGGGATGCTAATTTTGTCGAATAAATATCTTTTACTCTACAATAATGCTGTAATAATTAAATGTTGAAAGATAGTTTAATAAAGACTAGTTTGAAGACAAATTAGCAATTCAATGACTTTTAAGAAACTTTCATAAGACTTACTGTTAACTGAAGGCGATCAAGAGATATAGTATTTATATACAATTATCGAGTAAATGCATAATGAGTCCACGTTTAATAAACTTGTTTATAGAGCTAAAAGGGTCGAATGCTAAAAAATCAGGAGATCTATTATACAAATGTGTTTGGATCTTAAGATGTAAGAGTGATTGTTTTTACTATCTTTTTTCTAATTGGGTTATCAGGAGATTGGTAACATTTTATAATCTAAAAAGAGTGTTTTAATATAAATAAAAAAATATCTTCTTTAGCTCCTAACATATAAAATATGAAACCATAACGACTTATTATAAAACCATGTGGGGACAGTTTAATTTAATATTTCAACGTCAACTTCGAACAATGCTTTATTTTCATTAAAAATAAATTAATTTAATTTTGAATTACTTGAATATTATAAAATAATTAATAAATTATGTAATTAAAAAATAAAATTCTTGTTAAAGTAGAATTGTTAATTATTAAAAGGGGGATTTTTAGTCTATTATAGTATCAGGTTCAAAGATCCCCTGTCGGTAGCATGGCTGCTGCAATGGCACCACCTGTAAAATTTATTATAATATTTACTTCATGTTACATCAATGGCTTCCAATTTTTTTTCAATTAGTCCCTAGCGACCGTGAATATTCTTCTAATACGAAAGATTCACGAAAAGAAATTGTTAACAACACGTTTTTAAAGGAAAAATAGTATGTACTATTGTAGTGTCTTAATATGCTGTTCTATTAAGCAAATGGTAAGAATCACGTTATAAACGTGGTTTGGATGGAATGCACTAATATTCAAATAATTCACGTTCAATAAATGTGTTTCCTTAGCAGTTATTTATCACGTTCCCCGAATATCCCCCTCTTAGATTTAAGTACTCGTAGTATATAAGACGAAGATTGTTTAGTTAAATAGAGATCTACAACCTGGAGCATAGTATCATTTCTCCCTACCGCGCTGATGTGGCAACTTAGGTCTTCTCTAAAAATGTATTAATATTCATGATCTAAAGCCCGACGTCATAAATACGGGTGTAGACTTATGTCTATATATTTTTATAATTATAATTTATGATGATGATGATGGTCGACTACTTATCATTGCGTGTAAATAGGAAAAATCGAGTAAGTGTGTAATTGCATTCATTTAAGGTAATAGATAATTTTTAAGGCTTACTGAGGACGAGAGCAGCGGCGCCGTAGAGCGCCGAGGAGCAGTGCGTGGTGATCAGAGCACCCACTACGTTGGTGCCAGCAAACGCGCTCAGTCTGGCCACCATCATGCCTATGCACGCCACCATGCCTCTGATAATAGTAAAAACTTTATGCTACATATCAGCGATAGCTGGCTTATGTACTTAAAGTGATGCTGCTTGTGAAGATAAGGATACTCTAGATTAATTCTTTTCGTATATATAAATATACAATATGTATATAAAAAAAACTCTTATTATTATGTGTATTGTATATTTATTTATTAATTATGGTACACTATTGACTCTCATCGGTAATTGTAGCAGCCTATACTGTATTAAAAATGAAAATGGATTCATTTTTAAGTTATCAGTAGTTGCATACGATCCTAATAAGAATCTCTTTTCAAATCTCGATGCTGAATTACTTACAGAGTATGAAGAGAATATCGAATGCACTGTCACTGTCTTTGCTCAAGTCTTTTGCTTCTTTACCGTTTCATTAGTCTTTTCATCGATGCTCGCTGTTTTTAATGTTCATATACATTTTTTTTTTAACTTAGGTAAATTATTACCAAATTAGAATCATAATTATAATTGAGCTAGGCAAGTCAGGCACAATTAACATACCTGTAAGACGTGGGGAACAAGTCCACGAAGTATGAGGATATGACACCGAACACCATGGCCGTAGTGAGGTATATGTAGAACAGCACCAGCCCGGAGATAGGTTCACCGGTGTTGTCGATGCCGACGGCCGCGCTCGCCGCCACCACCAGGATCACTATCGTCAGAACCTGACCGGCAGACGTACTCTTCAAAAACTTTCAATATATGGTGAACTTCATCGTCGTTGTGTTCTCTACTCGATTAAAAATACATAAGTCAAATATTTTTAATGAACAATGAACCACTCCCCACCACATGAGGTGGAACTCGAAACCACAACCTTTCGCAATTCTAGTGACCGCTTTAACCACTGAGCTACCCTAGACCTAAGAGGAATGCCGAATTTTTCATCCACCGAATCCCACCCTGGGGCAGGTGGATTTGTTAAGCATTTTTCATTAGATATTTATTTAAAAGTATACCATTGCGAATGCAAAATTGATCAAAAATAATAAATACATAAGTTAGATTAAAATAAGCGACGAAATAATCAAGATTTTAAAAGTACATAGCTAATTATTCGACCATCTAATCAATCGCTAAACAATATAATTTCTTGTATGGTGTTAAGCGAAGCCCATTGCGAGGTGGTATCAACTTTAAATAGCTGATCAACTCCGTTCTTCTTTTACATGACATATGGGTCATACACAAAAGTTGAAAAAAAACTGTTCTCGAGTAAAAAAACGATTTAGTTATAATTATGTTACATCAACACTTGGTTATTTATTTATTACAACCCTTATATTTACTTTTCCGTCTATGAAATAACGGTGTTTTGTATTACAGTTATTATTTTCTTGCATTTATTTTTATAAACTTCCCTTCCTGTAGACTGTTCAAAACAGAATCCAAAACTTCAAGAGGATAATAAAAATATTTACGGACTATATTTTCAATAAATTATGGAATAGGATGATTAACCTTCATATAAAGAATAATTTAATAAGATCTTTGTATAAATACGTGCTAAATTATTGAAATTAAATGAATAAACATCTTGTTCTCAATTTGTTAGACTACTCCTGTAGACGTGTAAACTGGGTAATAATCTGCATGTAACGGAGTGTAAATCAATTTCGTTTTTCATGTGTTGGCAGCATTTGTTAAACCCTTGATATTTGAAGCTAGGATAGTTTCATAACTATTAACTATCAATATTCCCATTGTTGTTATAATCATTTAGTAACCTTTTGACATACTAAGTTCACTTATCAATTTGTTAACAAACAGGCATCTGTTTTCCTATAGGAAACAATAATATTATGATTACATATTTTAAAAAGGGCCATCTGTTCTTAAACCCATTTCGAGGTAAACTATCTTAATTACTCTTTTACTAATATTTACAACAGACACCCTTTGTGCTCCCGCGACGTCACCATATGCCCTTGTGCTCCCACGACGTCACCATATGCCTGATTGTACTGAATATAAATAGGACGCTGTAAAATTATTAGTTAGTTCTTACTCAACCACCAACTACGAAAGATGTAGCTAGGTTTATTATAATAAATACATTTTTAAAAAGTCTTCCCGTCGTCTAAATTGTAACAGTGGCGCAGTCGGTAGGATAGCTAGGAAGTGACTTCAGGCTCATCGCGAGAAGAAGCCAGCCCCATCAGCGTACCCGTAAAGTTGCTGCATACAACCAAGGGAGCGGAAAAAATGAAAGCTGTGGTCCTGCTAATGTAAGTCCTCACATATTTCATTCCGTTAACTGATTGGGTATAACCTTCCTTGTCTTCCCATTTTTATATATTTTGTGTTTTGTTCGCGATCCTTATATTCTTATTAAAATTGAATTAAGATCGGGAAAAATGGCAACGGGAAAAGACGATAAAATTGAAATTAAAGTTGAACCCCTAATTGCAACGGGTCCATTATTAAATATAATACCAAAATTTAGTGAAAACACTAAAAATTTAAATTGTTTTATTTCGAACTGTAAAACTGCGCAAAAACTTGCCAGTCCAGTTCAAGCGCAAATATTATTACCACACGCTATAGCCCAGCTAGAGGGAAAAGCGGCGGCTTTTGCTAATAGTCGATCATTCGACAATTTAACACATTTCTTAGATGAACTAAGTCAACACTTTAAAAAAAAACGCAACATTAGCGAATTATTATTAGCGTCTCAATATATTAGACAAAAGGGATCTATGAGTCGTTACGTTGATTCATTCAACGAAATTAGAGATGAATTGTTATCAAATGAAATTATATTGAATGATAGATATGGAGTTTTGAAAAGCGAATATGACAAAATTCTTTTGAATAATTTCCTTGTAGGTTTAGAACCTAATTATTATAATAAAATTAGATTAGAGAAACCCAGGAGCACCGAAGAAGCATTTAACTTAGCTCTTGAGGAAGAACGTTCATTGAATTACTATAATAATGTTTTAAATAAATTTTCTGAGCTAAAGGTAAATAAAAATGAAACTCAAAGCTCTAAACCGAGGCTTTCTCAGCCTTCCACCAGCGGAATAAATAACAATCGCAACAACTTCAACCGTAACAATCGTTTTTGTAGTTTTTGTAAAATTCCTGGCCATACACAAGAATATTGTAGAAAAAAGAATGCACCTGTTGCATCAACATCACGCGAAAATTTTGATAATAGACGTCGCGTAAATAATTTAAACGATGTGACGGAAGTCGAGGCCGAGCAGACGACTTCCGGCGACGAAGCGGAAGCCCTGTTGAACCTGCTCGAGTACTCATAAATAACGTAATTTTACCAAAGCGTAATAAGTTGCTTTTTATTAGATATAAAATTGATCAAATAGAAATAAAATTATTGATTGACACAGGCGCTGCAATCTCTACAATAAATTCAACCATTTCAAATTCCTTAACAAATATAAAACTTCATAAAGAAAACATTAGTATAAAAGGAATAGGAAACGAAAAATTTACTTGTTCCGAATATATAGAGTTACTTATACCTTCAGAAAAATATAAACACAAATTTTATGTTATAGACCTTCAAACTCCTTATGACGGAATCTTAGGGTTAGATTTTCTGAAACGATTTAAAGCCAAAATCAATACAGAAAATAATGAAGTTCAATTATTAAAGCCTACTGAAAATCAAATAGAAAATAAAGAAAATTATTCGGGAAAACGGATCATATTATCGGGTCGAACTGAACAAATAATACCGATCCATATAAAAAATGTCGCTGAAGGCGAATGCTTACTGGAATCAAGCAAAATAAATGATAAAATTATTTTACCAAACGCACTTATAAATGTTAAAAATCACATCGCATATGTGTCGTGTATAAATACCGTTTGTCGGAACACGGAAATGGATATTCCTGTTCTTAACGCAAATCGTATTAATTTAAATGAAATTCAAATAAATTCAATATTAAATAACTCGTTCGAACGGCGTGAAAAAATATCGAGCCTTCTAAGAACTGAGCATATGAACAATGAAGAAAGAAAAAGTATCTTAAAAATTTGCAAAGAATTTAATGACGTGTTTCACCTGGAAGGAGATCGTTTTACTTTTAGTAACGCAGTGAAACATCGTATTGACACTGGGGACTCTCCGCCAGTTTACACGAAAAATTACAGATATCCACAAATTCATAAAGAGGAAGTGAAAACACAAACGAAAAACCTCTTAGCACAAAGAGTAATAAGACCTAGCCATAGCCCTTATAATTCACCTATTTGGATAGTGCCTAAGAAGGTGGACGCAAGCGGTAAGACTAAATGGCGAATGGTTATAGATTATAGGAAATAGAATGAAGTTACCAAAGCGGATAAATATCCAATACCTAATATTGTGGACATATTAGATAAATTAGGTAAAAGTAAATACTTTTCAACTATTGATTTAGCAAGTGGTTTCCATCAAATTGAAATGCACCATCAAGATATTGAAAAAACAGCCTTTTCCACAGAAGAAGGACACTTTGAATATACGCGGATGCCATTTGGACTAAAAAATGCACCCGCTACGTTCCAAAGAGTGATGGATAACGTATTAACGGGCCTTACAGAGGACCATTGTCTGGTCTACTTAGACGATTTAATTATCCATGCTTCATCGTTAGAAGAACATGAGCTAAAGTTAAAAAATATACTGAATAGATTACGGGAGTATAACTTAAAGCTTCAACCAGACAAATGCGAGTTTCTTAGAAAAGAAGTCGCTTATTTAGGCCATATAATAACGGATAAGGGTATACTGCCAAACCCAGATAAAATAAAAGCTGTAAAACTATTTCCACAACCTAAAAATACTAAAACAATTAAGGCTTTTCTTGGATTAGTAGGTTATTATCGTCGGTTTATTCCAAATTTTGCGGATATCACGAAACCTCTAACAAAATTATTAAAGAAAAATATTAAATTCATTTGGACGGAGGAATGCACAAAAGCAATGGAAATATGTAAAGAATTATTAACAACGGCACCTATATTACAATATCCTGATTTTGAAAAGGAATTTATAGTAACTACGGATGCTTCAAACGTCGCGATAGGTGGAATCCTTTCACAAGGAAAAGTAGGAGAAGATAAGCCGGTTGCTTACGCCTCTCGTACGCTTAACGAGACGGAACAGAAATATTCTACTATAGAAAAAGAATTATTGGCTATAAAATGGTCAATTAAACATTATAGACCATATTTGTTTGGAAGAAAATTCACCATCGTCACTGATCATCAACCACTTACATGGCTATTTTCAGTAAAAGATCCTGGATCACGTCTCGTCCGATGGAGATTGGAACTTGAAGAATACGACTATAAAATATCATATAAACCAGGAAAGAAAAATCAAAATGCGGACGCATTATCAAGACCTTTTGTTAACTATTTACAGAACAATATAAATGACGAAATGTCACATTTTAGGAAACAATTATTAGAAGGATCAATAAATCCTATTGATATAATTGAATCAACCAATTCTATATTTGATAATAAACATCAAAATATGATCTTGTTTTTACCTTGTCAAGTAACGGCAAATAATGAAATTTATGAAAAACTAATAACATATTTTCCGACAGAAATAAAAAATTTAAAAGGAAAATTAAAAACAATTAAAGTTGTTCCAGATCCATATACAATAAATAGAATATATTACTTATGTTTCGATAGAAACACAAACTCAGATTCGGAAATGCTAGAGAGTTTCTATAAAACATTAATTGAATTAAAAATAGCATTGATTGATAAAAATGTTACGGATACAACATTGTTTATATATATTCCCGAAACAACATCGCACGATCGCGAATATGATCGAGAAATCGCAAAACAAGTATTATCATATGTTTTCCACGAAAATAATTATAAATTTGTGATTTGTGAATTAACGGATCAAATAATAATACCACCTGAAAGTCAAAGACAAAAGATAATATCTTACTATCATGACTCGAGATTTGCTGCACATAAAGGCATGGATGAAACAATTAGGAGAATCAAATTAAAATATAAATGGAAAAATCTGACTTCAGACGTAAAAGATTATATTAAAACTTGTGATACTTGTCAAGTAAATAAAATCGATAGAAGAAATTGGTCACAACCATTTGTAATATTATCTAGCGTAAATAAACCATTAGAAAGGATAAACGTAGATATAATTGAATTTGGTAAACAAAACGAAAAGATTTATGCACTTACTATTATTGACGAACTTACTAAATACTTAGCTGCGTATATATTAAAACAAAAATCAACTACAGAAGTAATAAAATCATTATTGTGTTATTGCCAACATTTAGGCATACCTCTTCGTTTTCATTCAGATTTAGGAGCTGAATTCGTATCTAAAGCCATGAAGAAAGTTTGTGAAATCATGGAGATTCAAAAATCAGAAGCGCTAACGCAATTTCCCCAGTCAAATGGAGGCATAGAAAGGGTACATGCTACAATAAAAGATTCTATGCGATGTTTAGTAGCAAACTCTAAAATACCTTGGGATTTAGCACTTAGCATAGCTGTAATGACTTATAATAATTCAAAACACTCATCAACAGGTTTTACACCTAGTGAGTTAATGTTTGGTGAAAGTAGAGACCATTTAAGAAGTATAACCACAGATAAAACTACCGATTTTTATTATAAAACATTATCAAGCAAGTTAAGCAAGTTACATAAGCAAGCAAAGGAAAGTAATATAAAAAGCAAAGAGCGAAGCTTAGCCAGAGTAAATAGCAAACGTAAGGGCCATACTTACAAAATAAAAGACCTCGTACTTTACAATGATAAGAAGAAAACAGGCACCAGGATTAAATGGACAGGTCCTTACGAAGTTATAAAAGTTTCATCTAGAACAATAAGTATTTGTATAAGTAGAAATAAGTTATTAACGGTATCTATCGATAACGTGAAACCTTATTTTCGTCGTTCTATTTCAGATGCACAACGGCCGTCTACATCGTCGGCGCCAACATAGAAAAAATAGGGAAAAATCCGGGGTTATTTATGAACCCTATAGGTGAAATTTATAATACGAATAGCGAATGGAAATTAATTACTTTTAGAGATTATAATAGCGTAGTTAAAGCGTATGATAAGTTAAAACCAATAATATTAGAATTATATAATATAGAGATAGCACAATATACTAAAAATCATACTGTTCATTTTAAACCTTTAATAAAGACATTAAGTTTAGACATAGAATCAAAGCTTCATAGTTTACCTAGTTATAATCATGATAATAATAATAATAATAGAGTTAAGCGTGGTCTTATTAACCCTCTTGGGTCAGTATTAAAAACTTTGGAACAATGGATAACGAAGACCGAAAAAAATATTCTAACTTAATAAAACAAATACAAAATAATCAGATTAAAACGCAGTCTATAATTAAACAACAAATGCACGTAACTATGTCAATTATGGGATCTTTTAATAAAACTCTTCAAGATTTAATGTTAAATGATAAAATAATAAAATATAACATGCTTCTCATTAAAGATTACATTCTGAAGAATGCTGTCAAAATCGCTGATTTAGAATTAAAACAAAAAGTTTTTGAACTTCATGAATACATTCTCGACAATTTGATTGTAATAAATAGCAAATTAGATGAACTTATGAACGCCATAGATTCCTCTTACTCCGGTATATTACCTTCTAATATATTAAGTAATATAAATTTGGTTCATGAATTAAATAAAAGTCCAAATGCTGGAAAATTCATAGAGAGACCTAGCATTAATAATGTTCATAGTATAATAAAAACTAGTAAATATAAAGCCTATTTAGAAAATTTTATGTTTGTGTCTATCATGGAAATTCCTTTAGTCGACGAAGAACCTTTTCTTTCATATCAGATATTATCCCTTCCTGAAAAAGACCCCAATTCCTCTCTTTATCATACCCTTTTGGTGCGGAATAAGTATGTAGGGATTACTACAGACCGAAGATTCTACACGACGCTTGACGACCTCACCAACTGTGAAGCCTTCGGAGACGAGAAACTCATCTGTCGAGCACTCTTGATACATGATCAAAATGCCGAGCCTATTTGTGTAACTAGTATCCTGCAACAAAATAAAGAAAATTACAGGGAATACTGTAACATATTAACTACGAATGGACAATTTAAAACCATTCAATACCTAAAGAAAAACACCTGGCTTATATTATTCTCAGACTCTATTGACATTGTTGAAGATTGTCATAGAAATATTACAACCACGAAGTTCAAAGGAGCAGGGATCCTGACTGTACCAGCGCACTGCACTGCAACATTACAAGCAACAAAGCTTAAAGGCGAAAGCGAACTTGAAACTCACCTGCAGTTACCTGAAATAAAAATAGATATTATAGAAGAAATTTACAATCATCCGTTAATAAAAAAATTACCTGAAATAAAATTGAATCAAGTGAAATATAATCAAGTGAAATTAGATAACCTATACACAGAAATGCAACAAATGAAAAATATAAAACAAGAATTAGATAAGATGAAAGCCACACCTGGAAATTTTCAACAGACAGATACATTATTATTATATTTAGTAGCAATCATAATAATAAGCTACATTATATACAGAAGCTGTTGTCAAGAAAGGATGGCTCGAATCTCTGGACACTGTCATTCCTTAAGATGTCCTGGAAGACGGCGAAACACGGAAGACGTTGAACTGCAAGCTGTAAGCGGAAATGCATCCCGACGTCATCTGGAAGACCCAATCTACGCCTCAGTGGACCAACGAACACCTAGAAATAGACATACTGAAGACGAAGATTAGAAATTAGGCATATTTACATATTATTTTAATTTAGTTTTAAAGTTAATATATAATAATTAGATATTAATAACTTCCCTTGTCGTATATTGTAATAGTTTATTTTAAATTTAAATATTGTTTTATATCAAGTGTTTCTGTCAGTTATTCAGTTTGAAAAATACTCTTGTCTTTTTGAGTATAATTTTCAATCTAGGGCGGGGGGTGTTAAACCCTTGATATTTGAAGCTAGGATAGTTTCATAACTATTAACTATCAATATTCCCATTGTTGTTATAATCATTTAGTAACCTTTTGACATACTAAGTTCACTTATCAATTTGTTAACAAACAGGCATCTGTTTTCCTATAGGAAACAATAATATTATGATTACATATTTTAAAAAGGGCCATCTGTTCTTAAACCCATTTCGAGGTAAACTATCTTAATTACTCTTTTACTAATATTTACAACAGACACCCTTTGTGCTCCCGCGACGTCACCATATGCCCTTGTGCTCCCACGACGTCACCATATGCCTGATTGTACTGAATATAAATAGGACGCTGTAAAATTATTAGTTAGTTCTTACTCAACCACCAACTACGAAAGATGTAGCTAGGTTTATTATAATAAATACATTTTTAAAAAGTCTTCCCGTCGTCTAAATTGTAACACATTGAGTCCTGTGTCAGTTGTCGGTAGCCATTACAGTACCGTCGTATTAAAGTATCGAAAAAATACATTTTGATGTGGATACACAGATTTTCATTTGTTTTTAGCGCCTCTTTCCTACATCGTATGTAACAATGTGAATGATTCTATTGTCATTGACAATTTTGGGGAGTAGTATGTGAATACAATATCGTTAAAATTCTAACCTTAAAAAAATTTTGCTATCTTACGTTAACCACCTGAACGTCCCTTCTGTAGAAATATTTTCTGTAGATATAGTAGCTACAGAAGAGTTCTTGTCTACAGAAAAGTAAACGTAAGAGCACACACTACGTCTACAGAAAAGTGAGAGTCTACAGGAATCTTATTATGATTTATTAATATACATTTTTGCTAGTTTCACATATTTGCTACAAATTATATTTATATTTAATTTACATATTTTAAAAATAAAATATAGTTGGGATTATTTTAAATCATCTTGCATAATAAAATACATGAATCGCAACAATTACTTACAAAATATTAATGATACCTATATTTTTTAGATGCCACGAAAAAGTAGGTCTGCATCTCAGATATCTGAAGAAGAAAAGATAAGAAGAAGGCGCGAGCAGAAAAAATTAAGTATACGACGTGTTAGAGCTCGAATGACTCAAACAGACTTAGAAGAAAGAAGAAGAAAAGATAGAGAAAGGTATCAGAAGAAAAAAGAACAAGGACTCCTTAAAACTATCGCAGACTTTACTCCGAGAGAACAAAGACAAATAAGGAAACAGTGGAGAGAAAAAGGCAAGAAGAGACGAGAAAAGCAAAGACAACACGATGCTTTGCATAATTTTATAGAAACAAATACTCCACCTTCAACTTCAACACTATCACGTGCAAGTGGTGGTAGTTACATATCACAACGTAATAGATACCTTCTTAGGGATGAGAATATTTATTTAAAGAAAAAAATATGTGAATTAGAATCTAAACTAGCCAAGTATAGAATGCGATGTTTCAGAGTAAGAAAAAAGATAGGCAGAGAAAAGGAAAATAAAAGAAAGCCTAACAAGTCTCTGGTAGTTAAAGAGACAAAAAACTTTTTCGGTTCGTGACTTTCTTTTGCAAGATGAAAATAGTAGGTCTACATCAGGAAAAAAAGAAACAATTACACGAAATAAAATAAAAAAACAAATACGATTTTTAAATGACTCACTAATAAACCTTCACAAGGCTTTTGTAATGAAAACTGGAATGAAAATATCTTACGAAACATTTCGCAGATATCGGCCATTTTGGATTTTATTTCCTAGAGTTGAAAGTAGGAATACATGTTTATGTATTATACATACGAACACAAACTATCTTGTTCAAGCACTTCATTATGCGAAAGTCATTCCTTTTAAAAGCGCGACTGATCTAGTTAAGTCTCTATGCTGCAATAAAATTTTAAACGTTCGTTGTTTGGAAAGAAAGTGTCCTCTATGTAAAGAAAATATTATTACTTCTAATAATTTTGATGATGAGGATTCCATTACGTATGAAAGATGGGTTACAAAAGATGTAACTGTTGTCATTAAAGGTATACCGAAAAAAATTAAAAAAACAATAAAAGAAAAAGTGCAATCAACTAAAAAAAGACTTCTAGATAATTTAAATTCAACATTACCAACATTCATGAAACATACTGCTTATATGATACATCAAATGAATACAATTCATGACATAAAGAAACAAATTTCACCTGCAGACGGTCTACTTCATATAGACTTTTCGGAAAACTACACTTGTAAATATATTCAGGAAATCCAATCTGCTCATTTTGGTGGATCGAAACCTCAAATATCGTTGCATACATCAGTATATTACAGTACACATTCGGAACCTCCAAATAATTTTCTACAATCCACTTCATTTTGTACGGTTTCGGAAAATCTCAGACACGACCCCGTTTTGATTTGTGTTCATTTGAAAGCACTGATAGCAAAAATTAAAGAACTATCACCTTATTTAAAACACTTACATATTCTAAGTGATGGTCCCTCAACACAATACCGAAATAAATCCATGTTCAATTTAGTTGCTACCTATCTAAGCAAGGAGTTTGGAGTGGATACAATCACATGGCATTTCAGTGAAAGAGGCCACGGTAAAGGAGCACCCGACGGTGTAGGTGGGTGCATAAAACGACTTTGTGATATTCATGTGGCAAGAGGCAACGATATTTCAAATTTGGAAGGCTTAATGTCTTGTTTGTTTGCAAACTGTAAAGGCATTGAAGTGTATAGAATCAACGAATTACTTATTCCTGATGTAGAAGAAATTTTAAATAAAAGTGTTATACGACCTTTCAAAGGTACTCGTGATATCCATCAGTTAACATGGAGTTACATAGAACCGAGAGTAATACACGTAAGACGTTTAAGTTGCCAGATTTGTGCCACACATGTGAAATGCCCTCATTATGGATTAGGGATAATAGATGTCAATTATAAACCCATGGACAACTATAAATTACCTAGTGAGCCAGAAGGTTTAAATACTCCCGATACTCCAGAAGCACCAAATACTCCTGAAGAGCCTTTAAATACCCCTGAAAATTCAACTGTGTCAATGTCACCGGGCTTTAGTGATAGGTTAACACCCGAAGTCACAACTGATGCAATTCAACAAAATGTGAGGCCTACCAAAAGACTTCGACCGCGTCTAGATCTTTTGGAAGACTCTGATTCGTCTTTAGAAGTGTTTCCCAAACGAAAACGGTTTTCTGTCGCAATGTGGCAAGATTCCGATGATGATTCCATATTTTAGTATTAGTTCTACAGATGGATATGTATAATCTGTAGACATGCTGTGATGATTTTTTTTAAGGGTTTAGTTGCATGTTTTTGTTTTTGATTATTTATGATTATGGAAAGTAACTAATTCTGATTAATATAAAATAAATGTCTAATATAATTGTTAAATTTAAAATATAAAAAAATAATTTTTGTTTTTTTTTGTTGACTATTTAATCTATCCTGTAGACAGGAAATAAATGAAAAAGTGATTTATCTGTTAAAATAATGAAGACTGATCTCTGATTATAATTTTGTAAAACTTTTAATGCTTGTCATTCAATAAATACCAACTAACGAATCGATATGTGCACTTTTGTTTTCTTTTCTTTTTTGATAACTGATTTTGTGTATGACCCATATAGTATATTGCCTAACGTCTGGAGGTTATGGTACCTTCGTTGTTTCAAATTTCAATAATACTAGTGCTTCTGCACCTTAATTTGCCATCTAAGTATTGTATGTGATGACGTCCGATATTCATTTATCGTTCCTCTGATTCTATTCATAGCAAAGTATGAAATAGTAAGTGAGTTATATGTCTAATTCAATACGATGGACCTCTTAACAACAAAGAAACGTACAGTACGTGTAAAACAAAAGGTTCTTTTTAATGCTAATGCGATGTTAATGCGGAAAATCTTTCAAAGAACCATGAATATACAACAAAATTGAATATGGAATCATAATACAGATAAATTGAAAAGTTTGTGATGTGATTCACAGAGATTATAATATAAAAGGTAAAATACAAAACCTTTCTCTTGCCAGCGCATTGTGAAATGAGGGCATTTAGCAGGAAGAAGGAGAATCCATGAGCGCAGCCCGCCCATATGGTGTTGTCGTTGATGGTGTTCCGACACTCAGTAGACACCGATACCGTCTACAAATAAAAGAGTAAAATGACTCCTAAAATATTTTTCAGAAACCATTGTAGTGCATTAAATGCAATATAATACTACGGATGCAAAGACGTTATTCAAATGAAATCTCTTTTTAGCAACAATTTTTCTTAATTAACTTTTTTTTCGATCACGTTAATTGCATAACACACATGATAGTGACACACAATCCCTTGAGTTTATTACGCTGCATGTCAGATTATACAATGCTGTCAATTTCTTTAATCGATTTTAACCTTGACGTGTTGACATTTAGTTCAAAATTTTCTTCTTCTTCTTCTTCAAAATACATTGACGAAATACACATTGAGGTAATACTATTACACAAACTAATTAGCTACTTATACTTGATAATTCTACATTATAGTTTATCCACAAGACCCCTGTTTAATTATTTCTATGCTAATCATGATACAAATATCAAAATAGTTTGAGCTCTTGCTCTATCTTTTGGGAATTAAGTATGTTCTACCTGGTTAGATGCAGCACTGTTAGTGTTGGCGTCCATGAAGAGATCACAGAATCCAGCGTCAGCGGCGCTGGTAGCATATGATGTGAAGAACACGTTAAATATTGTCGGTAAGATTATGGCGAAACTGTTATTCCTGGAAACCATGAAATTGCGTTCATTTTATTTGTTGTCAGGTTCCATTTGGTGCTGTATTATGACTTAGATAAAAATTATCTTAATTTATCAGTGTTTTTTTTATGGAATTATGGAAATCTTGTTTACCATTTAAATGGTGATATTTTATTTTACAATAGTTTTAAATCATTAATTGATTTATACGTCTGAAACAGAATTGGCCAAAAAATTTAATAACGATCGTGTGCTGTTGAAATTTCCTCTAAAAACTTTTCTGGACAGTAGTAAAACCAATAGTAAAGTAAACTTTTACTTACGCGATGTAAGTAACAAAGGTTAAGTAGTATAGTAGAAGAGTCCTCCACAATAGGGGGGGCTTGAACAGTGGCGCTATTTGTGTCCACAGGGAACGCAGCGAGAACACACCGACATCCTCTTTATTACCTTCTTCTAAATAAACATCATTTACCTAAAACAATATTTGGTTATCCATCAATGTTCCAAAAAAGTTTGTCAGATTCCAAAAGTTTCGCGCTTTATGTAAATAATGATTGAGCAGAGCTTTAATGATATAATAAAAAAAATATAGAACGTTTGTTATAAGCTGGTACAAACCGAATAATATATGCTCACTTAATTAGGTCATTACGATATGCTTAAATGTTTTATGGAACGTCTATAGTAGCGCCCTGGATATGAATGTCTGATGATGTAACATGCTTATTTTGTTAAAAAATAAAATATTTGTGTATAACAAGCCTTAAAAGTACGCATCAAGTAAATAGATAAATATAATGTTGATACGTTCTTAAAATTAATTTAAAATCCATTGCATGTGTTCCACGCTTATAGTAGAACGATATTTTATTATTAACCCAAGCCTAATGTTACATAGTGCCAGTCATAAACTACAAGCAATCTATCAAACAAACAATTTGCTCTGTAAACTCACAGGGTACTGTCCCTCCACTCCTCCGTTCTTCACATACATTTTATTCAAGTTCACCAGTGCCTCCTCTTTTCTGCCCACATTGGTTAAAAATTTGGGACTTTCGCAATAGAAATGCAGCATCAGAGCTCCCAATCCAAGTGGCAGAGCCATCACCAGAGTCAAGAGACGCCAAGGTCGATAAACTATACCAAGGAAAGGTATAGAGAAGTTCAGCTTCATTATTAAATACCCCCAAACTGTAAAAAAAAACACACCGCTGCGATATAACATTTTTTTTCTTTAAACTAACGAATCATTGATACAATATCAGCATAAATATCTTTTTAACTTCATTAGTATACTAAGTTTTAAAATATAACACGGTATGTGCTATTATTATACTACACGTATTTGCTTAAAATCCACATATTTGCTAATAACAGTGATTTTTGTTATTTCGCACTTGTATTCGCTTCCGTTCTATGAAATCAGCATTAGTAGTAAGGTAGCGTCGAGGCGCAAAACATTGTAGATATGTTTTTTCGCATCATGACAGCAGGAAACAAACGGAGATGATTTCGTGGGATCGATTTTCATTAACGATTCTTTATGACAGATCTTATGGCTCTTTATTAGCAATAGCTTAATAATTAATATAAAGGGGTGACGTACTGTAGTAGAGCGTAGGTGTGAGCATGAGCGCGCTGGTCATCAGCAGCATGTAGCGCGCACGCACCTTAGCACCGCAGCACTCACCCAGCAGCGCATACGTGGCCGACTCTGCCGCGCTGGAACTAGGAAATACTAAAAATAACAAAAAATATTTACAAAACTCCATAAAAATTGATGTGGATTTGATCGTAAACCGTTAGCAGTTGTTTAATTTTTTTTTGTCATAGTAGCGTATACTCATTAGGTCAATAATTTTTTTTTCATTAACAAGGTAAACTATATATATATCGTCAGCTTATCAATTAGTGTAAAGTAAAAGTCATAGTTGAAGTATAAACAAATGAAATAAACAAATCAAAAACATCCTAAGGCTGTCGTTGGCAACAAAATCGTTGACAGTCATTAATTTAAAGCGACATTACCGATACAGATTTTTCATTCATTAGAGCATAAAGGAGTCATTAAACCTTAACAGACGTTTGTGCAACCGTATATGGGATGAATATGACCAATGACCTTCGTTCCATCAGTCGAGTTATTATATTCAAACATTTTATTATTTCCTTAATAATGCTTTTAAGTTTTGAGCCTCTTGACGGGAATACATCGATCTTTAGCTGCGTTTATTTATATTATGAATTACTGTAAGTGATTGCTATTTAGCAATATAACCGAGATTTGTTTACTTTTTCGAAACGAAAAGGATAGTTTTGATGATTTTGGCCGGTATGTATGTATGTAAGAATGTTGATTTGTTCCCTTGTACTTCGAAACAACTCATCGTAACTGGTCAAATGAGGTATCATTAGAAGCGTCTTAGTTGTCCGCGTGCTATAGGCTATGTGACGTTAAATTAAATTGACAACAGCGCCCTCTAGAGAGCATAAAGTAAGAAACTAAAAAAATATATTATTAAATCATTCTATGTCAGGGTATCAAATGACAAATATATATAGCTTTTGCTTGCGATTTTGTTTAAATATAACTAAAATTGATTAAATAAACAATAATAAGTTTAAAACTAACCACTTCGCGCTTTAAAAATTGTGAACGAAAAAAATTTATTCTTTAGCGATAGCTTTATTATAATAGTGATGACCAGAGGACAGTGTAGTCGTCACTTATTGTTACAATCTTTTTAGAGCGTTGTTTTGCTGTAGTCGGATTTTACTTTTGAACTTATTATTTGTTAATTATTGTAAATTATACTGATTGCGTAGTAGAGTAGCAGTAGTAGAGTAGCTCGGTGGCGTAGTGGATAAGCGCCACGGCCCGCGATCGTAGTCGTTAAGCAACTTTCGCAAGGGTCGGTCACGGGATGGGTGACCAAAAAATTATTATCTCGAGCTACTCCGTGCTTCAGAAGGCACGTTAAGCGGTTGGTCCTGGCTGCATTTGCAGTCGTTAATACCCTCCAATCCGCATTGGGCCAGCGTGGAGGGTCATGGCCCATCCTCCTTAACCATCCATAAGGAAGGCCTGAGCCACTGCAGTGGGGACGTAAAAGGGCTGGTGATACTGATTGCAACAAGGCGTTTATTATTATTATATATTATTAGCATTGATATTGAGTAAATCACCGCTGCACATAAGAGTTCCTTAGTACTAGCTATTTCAATGGTGTTCCAGCAACTTGTACTTTCGCAAATCATCAAACGTGGGAGAGCCGTACTGTCGTAGTCTTCACTCAAGGATCTGACTACTTGCACTTTTTCGAAGCCATATATAATATAATCACTTGATCGCTTACAGAGCGGATCCTATGAACCGCAGCGCAGCCAGCACCTGCCATGTTGGTGCGAAGCTGCTGAGCACAGCGCTCAGGAAACTGCCGCACATTGCCCACATGAGGACCAGCTTACGTCCGCGTGTGTCCGACAGGTAACCCCAGGGGTACGACATTACTATGATACCTGAAACAACAGGAAATAAATTGTTTCTGTTCCGTACTTCAAGAGGAAAAAATGGTACCCTAATATTTATGTATTTATTTTATTTATTAATACTTCTTTCACAAATACAATGGCGGACTTAATACTGTTGGCATTTTCTACTAGTCAACCTAAGGGTAATGTGAAGACAAAAGACGTTGGGGTGTCTCTATTCATCAGTCTCACAGAATTTTTATCTAATTCATATTTCTTTTTTATCTAATTTCATTTTTTTATTTATTCGAGAAACAGTTGTATAAAATTACACGAGTACAAATCTTAACAAATGCAAGCTTGTAAACCAAAGATAAATGTACGTACATCGTATAGAAAATTAATTTTTAAGCATGTAGGTCACTAAGAGAACTTTAGAAAAAAAAAACTTGTGATTTGACTTTTACATCCTTCCACTTTAGCTATCTAGACTATAAATATAAACCAGTTTAATCAGTTTGTTGTCCGATATTCTTTAGACACGACTGCACTAACGGAGCGTGCGTCTGTTGACTGCGCATTCGGATGATCATTATTCCACCACGGCTGTGGTTTCTGAACTACGTTTCGGTTTTCATTAGGTGTAGTTATACCTAATCGGTTCTTATCACTTTATGGCATCATTAGCTCAGGTATAAATTCAAAAATAAGTAGATATTTAAGGAAGTTTATTTACTTTCTTTTCAAGTCTAATTAAAAGTCCTAAAAATGATTCTAATTATTTTTAACGGACGTCAAAAATACTTTTACTAAAAAAGTTTCCCATCCAAAAGAATCGGGAATGGTTATGTCAGATTATAGTTAAATTCGTGTTAATATTAATTAAAATTTTGACCATTATTAATTCTTATACAATTACATACATACCAGCGAAGGGCATGGAGGAGAGCACCCCGATCTGCTGCAGAGTAAGCGACAGGTCGCAGGTGGCCGCGGTCACAATGATACCCAGACCGAAGATGTCGATGCCCATCGCGGTAATCAACATGAAGCAAGCTGCCAGTAGACCCAGGTTATATCTGCCATGACCTAGAAATGGTTTTCCAAATGCTTGTAAAATATGTATCGAACCTGTTAATACTACTAAGGATTTGTCTTTGCTTCACATTGCAATTATTGTAAGGGAGGGAATATGATGCTCTGATAATCTTCATGAATATAATTAGAACAAAATTATAAGAAATAAGTATTCGAATTTTTCGGAAATTTCGTACGACAGACCATCCTGTCATGTAAATTCGTCTAAGTTACACTCGTAAGTTCTTAATGGGCATGATTTTTCCGACAAATTCAAACATTATGCTGTAGTAAAATTTAAACGTTTCTCATGATTATTTCGTTAGACTTTCGAAGACTCAGTGAAAATTATGTTGTAGTTTTTTTAGTTTACTGTATACATATAAACATAATTTGTTTATATGTAATGATCAGTGTTTTATCATTTATTATCACCCATCATGTAACTGTTTTTTTTTTGTTTATAAATTCTCAATAAATAAGATACAAGATAAAATATCGAAAACCGTACGTTCAGACGTTTATTTGATGATTAATTTTTCATTAAGACAAAAAATAAAGACAGTTGCGCTTTCGAATGATGATACATTGGTTAGTGTAATTAATATATTAGTAGAAAAAACTTTCTATTATGATTTGATGTAAAATAGTCATTTTTTTTCAAGTTTCTCAAGGAGTATTTTATTTGGTACTAATTAATATTCTACAGCAGGGTAGGATTAATCGCGTAGCAAAAGTAGCAAATGCTGCAGGTCCCGCACATTTGGGGGCCTCGCGCAATTGGGAACCTCGCTATGGTTAATTGGGTATTAAGTATAAACATAAAGTAAAAAGTAAAATAAGCATAAAGCGTAAAGTAAATTAAATTATTAAGTATAAGTATAAACATAAGTATACTCATATATTCGGAAAACGAGGGACGACTTTCCTATTCCCGAAGGGGGGGAGGTTCTTAAAAATTTGCTCCGCTCTGTCTTAATTCGTCACTGTTTAACAGTATCACCTGATGTTACGATGTGTGTAAAAAGTTAATAACTCGACTTTCTTCGTTTAAGCATTTATTCCTAGCTGCTTCTAGTGTAGTTATTGTTTACAAATATTATGACTTTAATGCTGTGATTTTGTGGTGCTAATTAAGTGATTCCATTTTGAGGTAAGGATAAACCGTCCAAACCGTCAAACCGTAGTTGGTGGAAAAAAAAAATAAAATAAATAGATCTAAACTAAGACAACTCAAAAAACGAATGTGGAGGTCTGACGATACATTTGTTTACGTGGCAGGAGCGCGACCACTGTTGATTCGACAAAAGAAAGCTAAAGTTATCTAGAGGCTCATCCCCGAACCTTTATTGAATCTGTTATGTTGGATAGATGCGTATGATCACCGAGAATTTGAATATTGTACAAAGTCAAAACTCACTCAGTTTTTTGAGTTGTCTCAGTTTAGATCTAGGTGTGCGATATATTACATACATTTCTCAAATCTAACATGGAATCTCAGATATGGGGATATCTTGAAACCGACGTACGTGCCATTCGATATTCGAATATTACATTTGATTAAACAAAGAGGTAAAGTTTTTTACTTTGTTTGTTTGTGGGGGGTAATCTTACGTAATCATCGTGTAGATTTTTTAAATAGCAAAGATTATTTTTTTCTTTGATATGTAGTAAAAAAGCGACCGATTCTGTGAAGATTCAATTCCTAATTCGAATTCACTCGGTTGTTCGAATTCTCTTCAAGAAGCGGCTTTCGCTCAAACTTGAATTGGCAATTACAACGTTTCGTGGCATAAAAGAAGTAAGTTTCGAAATGACATAAGAATAGAATATCTGAGACACGTACAATCAATTAATTTTGTTTTGTATTTTTATACAAAAATGGATTTAATAAAATTTCTTGGAAAGATGGACTTTTCTGTTCTATGGAAAAAAATACGTTTTATAAAACTCTTCTTGAGATAAGTACAGCTGAAATAGTGATAAACTATGTCGTTGACCTAAAGGCGAGGCGGCTGAGATAACAGACTCTTAGATCTGGTGACTTATAACGCAGATTAGTATTATAGTATCAAATAATACAGGAATAAAGGAATTTCTGTGATACAACCCGCGTATGGTGTAGCTTTCCGGTTTAGAAGTTTCAGAGACTATTAAATAAAAACAAACAAATAATCAAATGATTTCTTTTTATAATATTAGTTAATTTATTGTTGTATTGTAATAGATGGATTGTATGCTGTGTTAAAAGTTAGCTAACATTAAATTGTATGAACATTATACGAGTATAACTCTTGGAAAGAAATTACTTTGTTTAAAATGTTTTTCTTTGTCATTACTTTAATATTTTACCATAAAATAACATAGTATGTAATACATTGTCACTAACATGTACAAGTCATTATTTTCATAATTGTAATTTCATGCTATACTAGTTTTATTTGCGACTTCATTTACGCTGTGAAATGTGTTATTGGCAATTTAAAAAACTAGCATCCTTCAGGCTATCGCAATATGGATGACGACCGGGAAAAAAAAGGGAAATTCTATTTAGTCCATCAATCAGATAATTAAAATAATATAAATTAAATAATTTAGATAATAAATGGCTTGAATAATAGGCACTAAAGTCGAGGAGTGGGGGCGCGCTACGTTACAGTTTTGTAGAAAACGTGAAAAAGCGTGCGACATTTTACCGTTATTTATTTATTAAGCAAAAAATAAAAAAACACGTATTTAATATCTTTCACTAATCTACCTGATGAGCAAATAAACGAAAATTTGACTTTATTGCTACTCAATCACAATCGATTTTGCCGTGAAAATGTTATAGATGCGCAGAAGGTCAGTAAGTTTCACATCTCTAATATTATTAAGGATTAGCATCAGCTATATATGTTCTTTTTCGTATTTGAGATAAAGAGAGCGTATACGATTAAAACTTTGACAACTACTAGCTAAATTAATACAATCAATATTTTGATAATAATTATTGTCAATAAACGAACCAGTTAAGTTTAAGGCATCTTCATATCCGTAAGCCTTCGGTAAGTCTCTCTTATTCTTAACAGTTGCATCCATTTCTAGATCACCTTCGCTATCATCATAACACTTGTTTATTTCAGCCATTTTGGTGATCAGCAACACTCAACTACTGTATTATATTTCACATAAATCATATAAATAATTTAAAAACTTTATTTATGTTCTAGAACACATGCTTGTCAATTTTTTTATAAATAAATTGTTAGAAGCATATTACAATTTCGATATCATACTTAAATAAATACGTAAACAAATACTATCACAAGGTTTTCATTGCGCGTGCGATCCGCGCAAAAACACAGATGCTACTGTATCGTATACTCGAAGGCTGTATTATCTGTGTCGGATGGAGGTCTTCGATGTATCTATTGAGCATATCAATTCGGTTATGGAAAAAAGATGTTCTTTTGTTTGCGTTATCAAGATAACTAAGACAGATTTCGTTACACGAATCTGAATCTTTATTGGTATTAATTTTATCTTCTGTTGCTGAGTGACTTGAGTGCTGGTTTTATAATATATTGATAAAAGTTCATTAAGAACCCGCTACAGTCAATCATTAATGTAATAATGACCTTGAACAAAACAAAGTTGAAATAAAGTGCGACTAAAAGTAAGATATATCTTTTTCAAATCTGGTAAATATATCCATACATAGTCGAAGGTGTCTCAGGAGGGATTCTAACCGATAAATTCTGCTTTCTTGACGACCCTCGTAACAGAGTGGTTCGCACGCCGGTTGTGTCGATATCTCTAAGGTCCCGGGTTCGATCCCGGTCGGGTCAATGTAGAAAATACACTTTTCTTTATTGTCTCCGGTCTGAGTGTTAGGGTACCATCGTTGTCTCAGATACTCCATAATACGGGGGCTTTAGCTACTCATCTTGGAATCTGAGCAATGTATATGATGTTGTTTTATATTTATTTATTTCACAATACAAACTACATTAGAGAAAATTATTTTATAGAATTGGTCAGAGCACTCGCCCGGATTGCTAAAGAATGTTCGTTCAAATTCGATATTTTGGTACCTAATTAATGCACAATATTTTGAGTGTTTTTCTATGAGAAGAAATTGGGACTAAAGCTTAACAAAGATTTTAGTGAAATAAAAAAGATTTTCTATAATTTTTCGATACTATATAGATGTTTAATACCGAATTATAATTAATTTATTGTAGTGTTGGATTGAGTTCTTGGCTATTTACTCCTGCAAAGTTGTTGCTGATTCACAAAACTATGTATTATCTTTATTCAGCATTAATCGTCAATTAACCCATTACTACCTAGAGTGTCTATGTGGCCCATATGGACACATAGTTATAGGAAAAATAAAAACAAGATTAATTCAACTCTAAATATTTATGTGGAATAAATTAATTCGAAAAATAAATTTAAAATGCAAGAAAAGAGGCGTTGAGTCAAGCCCTTAGAGAAATATTTTTAGGAAATAGTTTAGTGAAATTCTATTTTGGGTTATGCATCGAATCATCATCATCGTCAGCCGTAAGACGCCCACTGCTGAGCATAAGCCTCCCCCATAGATCCAGCTTACCACAACCTTTACAATTACGTCGGTCCACCTGCTGAGCATTGTCCGGTACGTGGTCGCCATTGCAAAGCTCTTCCATCCCAAGGGCCATTAATTTTTCTCGCTTTATGTCCCGCTCACTGCCACTTTAGCTGAGCAATCTTTTGAGCAATGTCAGTAACGTTAGTTCTCCTACGGATCTCCTCATTCCTAACTCGATCATGTTGAGAAATACCAAGCATTGCTCTCTCCATTGCCCATTGGGTGAGCTTGAGCTAGTGCATCGAATGTTCAAAACAATTTCATTAAAATATCTAATTCTATTTGTTAAAAATTATCCTCTCCTACTAGTTTTCAAAAATTTGTTCATTTTTAATTTTTTATACCATGAATGCCTAGCATGTACATTTGGACACATTAAAATTTTATACAAAATGAATGTTTTCCGCTGTAAAAAGCTATTTTTATTCATATTTTACCAAATTTTACGCATTTCATCCAAAAATTAAAGTCAAACCACTCAAGTATTGCTGGGTTAACTATATTTGACATAAGAAACATTAGATACAATTTTAACAGCCGTTAGATACACAAGATAAAAGTTTTTTATCAACCGTATTCACATTCAGGAGATAAAGATTACCTTCGGTCATTTCACAACAAACAACATCATGTGACATCTAAACTAAATCAGATTGAAGCGCAGTGACGTAGCTGGCATTGGCGGGGCCCCGTATAATGATTTGTTTGGGGGCCCTTATAAATGGTAAAGCAGAAAATTTTTTTTAACTAACTGTGCGTATATTAATTGTATGTACTTACATCGATTATTGCGGGATTCCCCCCGTTGAAGTAAATGGCAAACGGAGAAATCCCGCAGCCCGCGAAAAGCAGGGTATGGCCAACTTTGAAACACACGCTTTACCCCCAAAATAAATTGCTTTTTTGACTTTTGTCATTTCTGAAAGAAAAATAAATTTGGGAAGTTTTTATCCCCAGCGTACGTAAGCAAAAACGACAGATAACGCCGCCGTTGAAACGCCACATTAAACTATCTAGAGATAGATAAAATCTGTAGGGATCTTACTTTGTGTTGTCATTTTAACACTTGAAAAAATAATAATATATTTCTAGATTTCTTTGTGTTTCTTATGTACATGATTTAGTTCAAATATTTTAGGACAATTTATTAATCATAGATTTATTTTGGAAAATACAAGTCCATGGAATAAACAAAGAATAGAGATATTCAAACGGTATTATTATTATAGCTAAAAACCTATTAATGGAATATGAAAGTAATAAAATAACAAAATTTACAATATGGACGGTCATAGAACGTGAATAATTAATGATAAAATTATTAATATTACGAAATTAGCGAGGCATTAAATGGGAAATAATTTTAAATTTTGCAAAAAATTTATTTAAATGATTTGCTCTTAAGAGGGTGCATGAATAAAAAATCAACGAATTTCAACTGGTTTTGGATAAATAAACAAAATTCCACAAAATATGACGGAATTAAATCATAATGAAATTCTAAATTTCAACAATCGATTTTAAGGCTCAATAATTAAAAAACTTTAATAGTTATATCAGAATTGGATACCAGAAATTTGATTTTCACCCCGAAACCTAGATACTGTTTTGCCAATGTTACGGTAATAGCCGACATCCAATGGCGTCTCAATTAATTTCATTTTACTACTATACACGAGGATGCACGTTGAGCTCTTTCCTCAATTTTTCTTGATCTCTCTCTCTCTATCTTGCATAGAATGCATTTAGGTTTAAAATCAAGTGGAAAATTTCGAGGTCCAACATTATTGGGGCAATGTCTTCATAAATAAACGCTGAGAGATATTTTTGTTGTTTTGTGATATAGTTACAAGAATTGTGGCAAAAAGGCTCGTTATTGAAGCGCCACAATTACGCTAAGATTGACAGAAACTCGTGCCCTGATTTGTTACTTTGTAGAGGGCACGGTTATTGGACAAAAACATTTCACTTACCACGTAGATCAACAAAAATTGGCCTAGCAAAATTATAAATAAGAAGAAATCAATGTTAGCATCAATATTCAAGTTGTGTTAGTACATAAGGAAAAAAGGTGTTTAAATTCAAGGCTAATGGTATTGTGTCTCGGCTAATGCGGTCTTCTAAGTTTCCATAACAATTGTGCGTATCAACCAATGAGATATCAACGTGATAATTTAACTTATTAACTAAATGTTAGTACAGATAGACATTATACAGGCAATTATTAGTTGCATCTCATTTTCTTACCAGTGATTCAGAATCTGGAAACGTGTACAAAACAATATAACTGATTCTAAGTTTGTCCAATTGTGTTGTACATTTTAATTCAAAATTATTAGAACCTAGGAAAAAATTGTACTAAATTTTCCTTTCTAGATACTTTTTAACTGACGGAAGAACGGACGAAGGAAATTTACCAGCTCTAACCTGTGCAATGAATTGATAGACTTTTCATTTTTTGAAGTTGGATTAATTACTAAAGGCAGACTTACCTTATCCGTAAGTTTTGAAGGATTATATATAACTAATCTGTCATGGTGAATGATTATGTACCTGTATTCAATAATTATTGAAATATATGTTAATCCACTACAAGTTGTTTTTTTTATTCATACATCTGCTTTGGGGTAAGCACGCAAGGACTGGAAGAAGTGATTTCATAGTTTTCATTTTTAAATATCGAGATAATGAGATTCCAGGTGTTAGTCATGACTGAGAAATTCTAGCAGTCAATGATAAAATAAAACAAAATATGATATAAAAGAAAATAGGTCGGTTTAATAAAACAATGTGTTCTATACAATAGCATTATGTTAATGATACATTAATGTGGGGCGTAGTGCGGTCACTCGGGCCGCGCCGGCCGCGTGCTCTTCGGGAGTATTGTGCACAACAGGCCACTCGCTGCAATAAACAAACACACAAACTTTCTTTATTATATTTCATCAAATTTGAATTCACAGTGCCATACTGACATTTCGCAATCCGGACGACTGCTCTAAATATTTCGAGTGTTTGGGTGAATTGCCTGAACATTGATGAGTAAAATTATTGTTTATTGAAAAATAAACAAGTGCTTGGAAAATTCGTCAGTTCTGTTAGGTCCTGGCTAGCTCTGTGGTTAGAGCGGTCTTCCCGATTGCCAAAGGTTTGAGTCCTATCTTAGAGTGCCAGAGACAAAGTGGATTTTAAAATTATAACCATTATTGATTTCATTTTAATCATCAGCCAATTTGACTTTCCAATAAGACTTCTTTGTATGAAAGAAAATAGACAGAACAAAGCAGTCTTTTCTTTCTTGCCGGATCCTTTCAGTAGGTCTGCTGCCGTAAATTTGAGTACCGATAGCATAATTTTCGACATTCACGAATAAATTATATTGAATTTGAATATATTAACATCCCCTCTGTGAAGAATAGATAGCTTTTTGAAACAATAAAAAGTGTAAAATACTTGATCGTTATCACTGGATCATGATCGGCAATCATGACAATTCCAACCATCCATCATCCATATCCTTAAAATGGTGCAAAATAATGTACCCACTCAAGTGCGAGCAATATATTCATGAAACTTCTATATATATATGCAACGTTACATTTTGTCGATTTTTAATAAGTACCGTTTTTGTAGGGGGGGGTGTATTAATATTAAGGGTTATCAAATCAGGCAAGTGTCACTCATGCGAGTCATCGTTATCATCAATCTATTAATGTCCCCACTGCTGGGGCTCAGGCCTTCCCTATGGATGGAATCGAATAGGGGCCCAGTGCAGATGGGTATTAAACGACTGCAGATGCGGCTCAACGCGCCTTCAGAAGCCGGAGGCAGCTCGAAATGATATATTTTTGGTTTTGTCACCCACCCTTTGATAGCCCATTGCGAAAGTTGCTGAACAACCGCATCGCAGACCATCGAGCTCGTTTGCGGTTGAACAATCACAATAGGTAAGAGCGGACAGAATAAGTAGATTCTCCTGAGATGTGTGAAACTCACTGATGAGGAAGAAGCCGAACATGTATATGGGCACGACGCAGTGCTTGTCCACGAGCGCGCCGAAGATGACGTTCCCCACGATGGCGCCCACGCGCCCGCACATCACCGTCACCGACATCGCCGTCGCGCTGCACACACACCCACATACATATAACATTCTTGAAGAATACATAATACGAGGGTGGATTGAAACTTCTAGGTCCGAATAAGAAAACAATGAAGAAAAATAAAATATTCTCCCCTTGTCTCAATACAATATCACTTGACATACGATTAAATAAAGAATCCAGCTGTCGAATGACAATAAATTAGTTTATATACTACCCTCAAATTTCGGTCAGGCCGAGAACTTTTCAAACCACCCTCGTATATTATATCTTTCTCTATGTGTATTTGACAAGTTTCTAGTTTCTTTTTCAGACAGTTAAATAAGGTAAAGGTGTATTGGAATAAAATAAAATTTCGTAAATAATTAAAAAAATAACAATCTAACTATTTTTTACTAGCACAATAGATACGCCTATTAATCTTCCCACTGGTGGGTTCAGGCCTTTCTTATGCATGAAATCGAAAAAAGAGAACGGACCGTGACCCACCACGCAGGTCTAATGCGGGTTGATGAGTATTAAAGACAGATACAACCGAGACCAACGGCTTAACGTCCCTTCCGGTGCACGGAGGAGCCAGAGATTATAAATCTGGCCATTGCGAAAGTTGCTTAATAAACGTCCCGCAATCAAACCCCTCGAGATTAGATTCGTAATGCCATAGTAAATTTTCTAGATATTTTCAAGTTCTACTTGTATTTAATTAGTGGCCGCCGCGTTTTCCATTATTTGTTCGCTCCTAATAGTTGCAGCGTGATGTTATATAGCCTAAAGTCTTCCTCGATAAATGGTCTATTCAACATCATATTTTCAATTCGAACCAGTAGTTCCTGAGATTAGCGCGTTCAAACAAACAAGCAAACTCTTCAGCTCTATAATATTAGTATAGATTTAGGTTCGGATCTCGCTATTATGTTATACTCACGCGACTTTAGTAGGAAAGATCTCGCAAATGACGCAGAAGAGCACGGCCTCCGTGCAGCTGACGATGGCTTCGAACACGCACGAGAGGATGAGGTTCTGCAGCGATGACGTCACCAGGTTCAAGCCCAGAGCCGCCAGACCGGAGCTGATCAGCATCATCACTGCAAACACAATCAGATGAAACAATTAAATCTTCATTTTTACAAGTGGCATTTGCTATAGTATAAATTTCGGATTTTAGATCACCTACTTTACATAAGATTCTCAACTGAATATTTCTGCAGTTACGTATTTAATACCAGGAGTTTTACCACTACAGACAATGAAAAAATAAAGTATTAAGTTATATTTATTGTCATGAATCAATGGGCTTTAATTTGAGATTAGAATTATATTCAATTTTTTGGTAACCTGTCGAATGTTTTTGCATTAACCAAGCCTTACATTTATGTACAACATGTGAAACCTCTATAAATTTATATTCATTTATAAGTTTAATGATCTTACCTAGCATGAGCTTCTTGCCAACCATATTGATGGTGAAGCCAACCGAGAGAGCTGTGGGGAGGCAACTGAGAGCTACCAACAATGTGTGGATGTACACTTTGTCGTCCATCACCTCTGTACTCTACAACATTACAAAAAGAACGTTAAATAAGATAAAGTTGGATATTGGGATCGCATGGCCTGTTCCTAGACATGAACTTCGGCTTGATTTTTAAGCCCTTATTTTCACCACAATGCCTATCAAAAAGTGTTCAGTGTAGGTAATAGGATACTATTGTCAATTTATTGCCACTACCCGATATTGTAACTATTGTTTCCTGTGGTGGTTGCAGTATCGGGATCAAATAGTTTTAACATTTGCGAAGGACCTAAATGGAGAAGACATAATATACAAAAAAATTACTTGAAACATGTAGGTACATGTTCATTAAAATGTTAACTACATGAAAATTGACAAAAACTCGTATTAAAGTTTTTGTAAATTATTATGTCTTTGATTATAAAAACTTTTTTGTTGTTGTTTTGTGTAAGGCTTTAAAGCACACAGTCAGATATAGGTTCTTATGTCTATTACTTCAATTTACCTGTGTGAGAGCGTCTCGTGTCTCGTTAGCGACTCGCAGAGAGACCTCACAAACGCCGGCCGATGTATCAGGATACAAGGACGTGAATACACTGAACCTCTCGAACAGATCAGGAAACCACATCATCAGGGTGTAGTAACTGTAAACGATACATCAACCGATAAGTTTATCGATAGGTTCACCATCAGCCTCTTGGGATCATCAGCACTATTCTGTTAAAGTAAAGCAGCAACAGAATTTAGATCAAGAAAAACCTACTTCAAAAGGTAACAATGGATTGAAACTCTGATACTGCGACTTTGGTGTGTTCGATACTGAGTTTGATGGTGTTTTTACAAAATAGCAAAGCATTCCTTCCTTGTGGAAAGATAAAAGGAGAATGAATCATCACGCGGCACCGATGAGGATTAGTGGCGCTGACGATTACAGGAATATTTAAATTTAAGACAAATAAAGGTATTGAGAAAACTAAAATAAACTATATCCTTACAAATCGTAGCGTAATATATCAATAATATCACGTTATGAGCTATAAAATATACCTATTACTATTTCCGTGGACATTTTCAAATATCTCTAGCATATCAGTAACTAAAGCATTATGAAAATCTGAAACAACACACGTACTACAACATCACAACCTCCAGACTCAAGACAATAGAGAAAAGTTGATTATTTTCACCAGTAGCTGACCGGGTATCAAACTACTTACATCTATTATCGACAGAAGTATTAACTTGAGACTTGAGAAAATATCATAACATAATATGCAAATATACATAACTGACAAATAATCTTCATTCAAATTTTCGTCCATCGATTAAAAATGTTTGCAGATGTTATGATATTTTCTCAAGTTATTACTTCTCTTGATAATGGACCAATAATTCATCCAAGGCTTGACTATAAATATACAGTCAAGTCCCATAACTCTTTTTTGTCTTGACTATAGACTTATAGGTAAGACGTGGCCGAATTATTGGTCCACGGTCTAGAAAGTAATAGCTCGACAAAACACTGTAAGCATATTTACGAGAGTTTAGAGATAACAACATTTTTGAGATAGCGTGTGCAACGCACGGCTCGGAGGTTGAGGAGGTTGTCAGTAAGTAGCAGTCACCTGAACATGAGGCCGAAGTCGACGAAGCAGCAGAGCGCGAGCAGGCCGATGTACGGCGGAGTGACGAGCATCTTCTTGCGGATCCAGAACGCCTCCCAGCGCTGGTTCCACGTCAGCGGGGTCTTGGTCTCGTTGCCATTGTTGTCAGCAGACACTATTTCCTCCTCGCCGTCTGCTCCGCTGATCATAGATTCCACCTGGACAATTTATATGTATAACGCTTTATTTATTTTTCCCGCTTTGGTAGTACCAAATTTGTAACAAAGAGAATAATCAGAGTGCAGTCTATTTAAGAACAGATAAATCTCCGACATTTTATATTTTAAAATAGACAATAGCTTTACTGACAGAACTTATGATTGTTTTGAGGTTCATTAATAACTGTTGTATTTAATTATTGATTTCTACGACGATTAAATCTTTCTTCTATGCTATACCACCTGCGTATGATGTTCTTCTTTCCATTAGCCATAGAATTTTCGAAGCCAATCAAATATTTCTTATTTATAATATTGATTTAGAAATAAATATTTACTCACTGGAAAATCCTTATCACTAAGTTTCGTGTTGAAGACGAAGATCCTCTTCAGGACTTGTAGTGCTTTCTCCCCATTGTTAGCGTGCAGTAGATACCTCGGACTCTCTGGGAAGGGCACGAGCAGGAGAACTACGAGGAGACTGGGAAGACCACACGCGGCCACGAACACCCTCCACGAATTATAACTGAACGCTGCGTTAGGCTCTGTGAAGTTGAATGTGTCACCGCGAATGATGCCGAAGGCTATGCCTGTGGATTAAAAATATATAACGTATATCAACTGTATTCTCATAAATCATTAATTCTTAGAAGTATTGTCAGTCACCTGGTAACGTTTGATCTGATGACTGACTTATTATACGTATCTCTTTGAACGATACAGAAATTCCAGTTATAGGTAATTACTGGTAACATCAACTTCTAAGTCTAGTACCTTATATTATTAGTTACTGTTTCTTTGCAACGCGTCAGTATGAGTTTGAAGTCCACCAAATTTGTAAGTTATAATAAAACACCAAACCTAATCGCGTTGGTTAGATTTCGATCTTGAGATTACAATTGTTATTGATTAAGTTGTTGATCATCTGTGGTATTTATTGGTGGATGAAGATTTAAAAAATTACTAAAAAAGTTCATGGAAGATGTGAAAAAAGATAAAGAAAGAATGGACAAGAAAGATATTGCGAGTAACAAAAAAATTTCTCGTAAATTGGAAATTAGGCAAAAAAGAAACTCAAAAACATCTGAAAACATTGGTGATACCATGATACGGTCAATGACTAAAGCGACTGCAAGTTCTCAGCTGTCATTAATAAACCAAAACGCCTGAATAAGAAGACACCTTATGCACTGATATAATTGTGCTATTGTTGATGGTCGCGTCCTTACTGGTAAAAGCAGCTAATAAAGAAGGTAAAAGGAATATAAAATCTGTTCGGGATCGGTGTCACTGGCCCTGGGATCGAGGTCCGACTAATATAAGTTGGAAATTGTATAATGTTACGTTCTTAATAAAAATGTAAATGGCACTTATTTGTTTTATACACATTGAAATGGTCTTTTTTATACTATTTTTAAGCATATATTCTTAATGAAAAGAATATCTTCCAGTATAGTATTGTGAATGCAAATTTGATAAGTAAATAGAATAAATTCTCATCTCTATCGAAAGTGTTACATACATATTAGTAAAAATATGTCTTTCGTCTGTTTGTGTGGATTGCCTGAACATTGATGAGAATACGCTCTGTGGTAGCTAAAAAGTAACAAGTGCTTGAAAACTTCATCAGTCCTGTTAGGTCCTGGGAGCTCAGTGGTTAGAGCGGTCAGATTGCGAAAAGTCGTGGGTTCGAATCCCATCTCAAAGTACCAGAACAGAGTGAATTTTTTCATTAATGATATTTTCAAATATAGCATTTTGAATGTAAAATTGATCAAATATAATAACGTTATGTTGTTGTAGAAACTTTGTTAGCGCGATTCAGGTTTGTATGTCAGTCCCTACTAACTATGTGAAGAATGGAAGAAACTAGTCTTTATCTTACCGTCGCGTCGTTTCTACTGGCGATGATAGCGCGGTGAGGGAAATAAGAGTTTCAATACATAGTGCTAGCTGTTAATTAACTATAAAAACTAAGGCATTTGAGTCTGATTTTGATTATACCTGGCAATAAAATTGTTCCTATGGTCCAGAACACTTCTAGTCGGCACAGCATAACATCTCTGTGCCGGAGTGAAAGAAAGTCCCCGAAGTAGGGGAAGATTAGACCGGTGGCTCCGATGATGCCGAACCCGGAGAAGAATCTGCAAACGGTCGACAACTCAAATCACTAATTACGTCAAATAACCTGAAAGAGTTGTTGGATAAAATTACCCAACCACGATTGAAAATTGAAAATCAGACGATTAAATAATTCGCAAATTCTGTCGATTAATTTATTAATTTAAGAATCGTTATTTTTAAGATTGATTGGAATCTTTTAATCTTTTTAATGAGCATAGAATATGTCTATGTGTCTACTTTTGTATATAACAACAGCAATCACAATCAAGAGCTTATGTTTTAGTTACATTACCTCAGGCGTTAAAAGTTAGATGTTTAAGGATGCAATACTTATTTTCACTGATTCTTATGTTATTTGAGAGAAAAGATTTTTTTATAAATTAGGGACACATTGAGACCTAATGGATGTAAAATTGCCCAAAATAATTTAAGCTCAGCTTAATTATTTCAAGAATACGTAATTCACCTGAAATAGTCATAAAATTATGTAAAACAAATAAACAGATTTATATGACTACAATTGTTTATCTAAAATTATCTGCCAGTTTGTACCTGAGATACTTTTTGTAAACTTTTTTTGGTAATATTTGAGCTTATATCATATTTACCTGCATGCCAGAAATGCAGGGAAAGACTGGACAACACTGGAGAGGAAGGCAGCCAGCGCGTCTACCAACAGCGCTCCTATGATAGCCTTCTTCCTCCCTCTACCGTCTGCTAAGTTGCCCCAGAAATATGACCCGACGCACATTCCTGTGGAAATTATAATTTTATATAGGTAAATAATTTTATACAAGAAATAAAAACATCGTGCACAGCACGTCAGGTTATACTAATAGTAACAGTTCCCTCATTTCACATTAAACCTTAATGCACTTTTAAAAATTAGACGTGCTGTTGTGTGTACCTAATGCACCGGACGCTCGAATTTTATATACGGATTTTTTTTAATCGTACGACGTCATCAGCATTATTCATATATAAAAATGCCTTACTGCAATGGACGTATGACATCGACAAATCCGTGCAATACGTTACGTGTAGAGCGGTCGATTCATGCGTGCTGCAGCAGTGTACGAGCACCTTTAACGGTATTTGTGGTATGTTTTCTTAAGAAACCTAAAGAATAGGATGAGACCAATATTAAGCTTAGGAAGGTACGAGATGAATATCAAAAAGACGAAAAGATTATAATTAACAAATTAGATGTACGCTACGACAAAAAACGGGCTAACTGATATAAAAAATGTTTCTTTATTGCGGACTAATCTTTATTGAGAATTACTCTCAGTTAAAATATTGCCATAGAATCTAATCCCGATTATGTTCAGCTAGAAAATGTAATGTTCCTAATGGTCTCGACATGGTCATTGTTTTGTGGCTATTCAATGGTTTTGTTCACTATTTTAATGTTAATAATTAATTATTTCAATTAATTATTTTATAAATATTCAAGTTATTTTGGTAATGCCATTATAAAAATTGTAAAATTAACTTTGACGGACAATTGTTGAGAAACAAATAAATTATATCGCTGCGATATCAATGCCGTCTGTAAGTAGGTACAAATATCTTAGAAGGATTTCCTTCTAAGATGTTTTGTCATCATTTGATTATTATGGTTTGCAGTGAAGGTGAAGTATTAAATTTAGAATGCAAAGACAATTTCTCTCCCACTGATATCGTGAACCTATTAAGATAAAAATAATATGAGACCTAATAAGGTCAGAATAGGATTTTTAAAAGGGAAGAATAGAAGTTTATATAAGGAATCAATAAGTTCTTTACTTAATTTACTATCCTATTTCCTATTCATATTATGAATGTGAAAGTTTCTTTGTTTGGATGTTTGTCTGTCAATCACGTCGAAACTACAGAACGGAATTTGATGAAATTTGGTATACAGATAGGGTATTAGCTGACTTAGATAATAGGATACTTTTTATCCCACTAAACATTTCCCTGGGGCCAACGCGGGCGAAGCCGCTGGCGAAAGCTAGTTGTAGTATAAAGCATAAACGATGGAAACTTAAAGCGTAAGATGGTAAAGGAAATCAGATTACGAAGAATACTAATTCCACGTAGACAAAATTGCAGCTAGTTTCAACTTAATTGTCACATGACTTAGTTAATAGCATCAAAGGTTAAAAACAATGTTAATTTTGAAAAAAACTATGTACAGTCAAGGTACAGATATATATACACCACAAGTTGCCACAAAATGTAATCTTCCAAATTACCATAGATATAGAAACGTGCAAAGTTACAAAAATAAGTATACACAAAGGGTTTAGCCGGATACGTATGACGAGTCGGCCCCCAAATGGGAATCGATATTGAAACTTATGTTTTAATATAGACTTGATGTTCAAACACGATTTATGTACTTTTCGCGACCGACTTCCGCTTTGACCTTGAGATAGAGAGCAAAATATCCGTATGCTTGACTATTACTGAATGTGATATATCTCTTAAGCTAATTAAGATAAAGAAGTGAAACTAACGCGAGGTGTTAGGTTACATTACAGAGTATATCACATATATTTTTTATAATTTTTAGAACAAAAAATTACATTAAAAAAAATAAAAAATAAAAAAATCATGTTTTTTTTTCTGAGTTCTCTGTGACTTACAATCACAAAATTAATATATGTTATGCTCCTTTGTGTGCTCTATTACCCATAAAAATTGCGTGAAAAAAAAGTTGGTGCAACACAACGAAAAAAAATTATATGTGATTTCTGTCTTATGGTATACCCCTGTATTATAAGGTTTTCACATTACATCATTGTTTTTTTTTTCGAAATTTCACATCAGCTTGTTTTAAAACATAAGTAACTAGTCTTAAGAGATGGGATAATAGTTAAAAAGAAATGAAAAAAAAAACAGCCAGTGTTCAATACTTATTATTATTACTTTTTCGTGTCTATCAAAATACAAGAAACAAAATATTAATCATCGTCACTGTTGTAATTAATTACAATCGGAACTCTTTGAGTCGCAAATAACTTAGTTAGGACCTCAGCAGGACGTACGATTTTGGACAAATATCATCCATATGATAGATAATAAATAATAGCTGCTACATGAGAACAGCATCCCACTGTACGTTTGCCATTGGGGCAATCACAGCAATAACGAAGAATACTATTGTAGTCATTACCTTCGGAAATATAGTGAATGTTAATTCGATAGACTTTTCTATTTATATGTCTTGATTTTACTTCTGCTTTGATGATATTAGGTGCTGATTTCACATATTGTACTGAGAGATTATTTTGATCGTCCATTATTTCGGCCAAGTTAAATGCTGCACATTTAGAAGTAGAAGCTTTTTTGTTAATATATGGGATAAGTCGACACTTCTTACAAAAAATATCATTAACTATTACGATTTTATTCAAACAGTCACTAAACACTTTAGCTTCTTCTTCATTCTTTATAATTTTTTTTATAACCAGGAATCTTACACAGGTACTTGTTACAATTTTTACACTTTCTCGACATTATTACTTAATAATGATTTGGTTCGATAGTCATTAATTTCAAAATGCTGATACAAAATACCTATGACAGAATTGGAGTCCCAAACTGCCTTCTTGTGTAATACAAATGACTGCTACTTTAGCTAAACAAACGATGCAGTAAACAGCTCGATAACAAGTTCGAACTTGTTTGTTTATACACTCACACTACAAGGCGCGAATCACATATAATTTTTTTTCGTTGTGTTGCACCAACTTTTTTTTCACGCAATTTTTATGGGTGATATAGCACACAAAGGAGCATAACATATATTAATTTCGTGATTGTAAGTCACAGAGAACTCAGAAAAAAAAACATGTTTTTTTTTATTTTTATTTTTTTTATGTAATTTTTTATTCTAAAAATTATAAAAAAATATATGTGATATACTCTGTAATGTAACCTAACACCTCGCGTTAGTTTCACTTCTTTATCTTAATTAGCTTCAGAGATATATCACATTCAGTAATAGTCAAGCATACGGATATTTTGCTCTCTATCTCAAGGTCAAAGCGGAAGTCGGTCGCGAAAAGTACATAAATCGTGTTTGAACATCAAGTCGATATTAAAACATAAGTTTCAATATCGATTCCCATTTGGGGGCCGACTCGTCATACGTATCCGGCTAAACCCTTTGAACATTACTTGGTAAACAGACAAGTGTAATTATATGTATCCATAGGCAGGTCATTAACTTAGGAGACAACCACATACACATAATTTATACCCACACGATAATAAAAAATAAGTAAACAATCAAAAGGCCAAACTAACCATCAATATTTATAATGTCTCTAGGTCCAATCAGGAATTATCAAAATATAATAATTAGAACAAAATTCTCATCTTTATCGAAAGTTTCAATATTTGTTATTATATGTATTTCTTTCGGCTGTTTGTGTGGATTGCCTGAACATTGATGAGAATACACTCTGTAGCAGCGAAAAAGTAACAAGTGCTTGAAAGATTCGTCAGTCCTGTCAGGTCCTGGGTAGCTTATTGGTTGGAGCGGTCGCCCGGATTGCGAAAGGTCGTGGGTTCGAGTCCCATCTCAGGGTGCCAGGGACCGAGTGGATTTTTTAAGCATTTGTATTAAGAATAATTTTCAGCATGGCATTGTGAATGCAAAATTAATAAAAATACTTGTATACTCTCTAGAGTGAACACATAAATTTGTGTTTTCGAATACTCATATAGGAATCGCTATGAACTACATATTTATGTTTGCGAAATTGTATGCATTTAGATAAACACAATTTTATGGCTTTATAGCTCTCCGTATATGAGTACATTTATACTGTTAACATACTTGTAACCTTGACTATATATGTCGTTAGTTTTAAAACTAAAAAAACTAAATTATTGATTAAAGTACTTATTAACAATAGATAATTGTAAAATTATAAGATCAACAAAATTTTTTTGCAGCTCTCGTTTAAGATCTAGCTTCAATCTTGAATTAGTTAATCCCGCTCTTACCAATGAGTGGTGTCGCTGTGAGTCTGCCCTTATCGCTCGATGATAAGTCGAAGTCATGTCCAGCAGCGGGCAGCACGAAGCTGAGTGTCGTTGTACTGATGGCGCACACCGCGTACACAGCCCCGCAAGACATTAGTAGCATCCATTGAAACCCGCCGTAACCTGAAATATGGACAGGATATGATAACCGATTTAAGTCAGCTCAGGGTATAACTTCAAAAGCAAAATGAAAAGTTTTTTTTTAAGTATATTAACACACTTTCAGTAAGCCTTAGTCAATACTATCGTACCTATATAGATAGTATAGCTATGTATAGAATGCGATAGCATTGACTTTATTATTAATGGTAGTTATTGTAATATGAATGATTTTAAAGTTATATAAATGTTATAGATAGATAGACGTTGTAGAATTGCGTAGAACCCCGATCACTGGCAGATGCAAAGAACCTCACGTCCCAAAACCGAAATAGAAACGTTTGAAAAACTAAATATGAATGCCTCAAACCATATAATTGATAAAATGCAATAAAAAATATGAAAATATATGTTATAATTAGTTACTATTAAACTAAAACTAATTTGAGAAAATTCCGGAAGGTTTCCTCTCAAAATTTATGCAATAACACTAAACACTTTTTCTTTTTTGACGGTAGGCGTAAATTAAGGAACCACAGTATGTACAAGTTAATTTATTAAAAATATTTTAACATTTAATATTAGCATGTCATAATAGTGGATAGAGGCAAGCTTGAAATTTATTCTAAATAGTTATTTATAATTTCATCACATTACTTGGCTGCAGCATATTAATTGGTATCTATAGGTTTCACTATTATATCACTACGTACTGTGTTTTTAAACAACATCAAAAAAGATTATCAATTCGACTGTATGTTGTTTTGTTTGTTTGTTACGCGATTACGCCGCTAATTATGAATCGATTTACAAAATTCTTTTTTTATTCGACAGCATAATTGGGGGAGATCGTCCTATTTAAATTAAAATCAAGTCAGTAGTTTTCTTTTATAAAAAAAACTTAATATGCTTTTCATCAGTTAAAATATTACCTAAATATTTTGATGTCTCGTTTATAGCAGCGAAAAAACAAAAGATTTCTATTTTTAAGGAGTATTATGAATATCATTTTTGTTATACAGAATACTTCATATATTGTCTTATATCGTCTTGCACCCGATCCTCGTACTACTTCAACTTCCCTCAGATTTATCTATTGCTATTGAGCTATCGAAAATATATTTATACTTATATTATATTATTTTTATGCAATTACCTACTTGCATGAAAAATAATATAATATAAGTATGTATATGTTCACCGATTTCTTTGTGGTTATGTCGTGCCAATATATAAAAATTTCAGGACTTTCGTTGTAAATGTAATTTATTTTCTATATATATTTAATATTTTAGTGATACCTATACAAAATATTTATAAAATATAAGTATCACTAAAAATAATGAAATGAAAACATTTTTCAAGAAACATTGGAGTCGGACGGTTAATATTTAATAAATTACAGAAAACCTCAGCCCGAATTTAATGGTTCTTGAACAATTTAATAATTTTTAATATGAGTATTATTTTTCACTTTTCAATGAATACATATGTGGGCATTATAACTTCGGATTGGTGAGTTTTAATAACTGCAGGTGCAGCCAAGACTAATGACTTAAGATAGTTGGTTTTCAAAGCATGGAGGAGCTCCAGATGATGTCACAGTTTATTTCCACTTGCTTATGGCTTCTCTAGTATATAAAAGAATACCGGAAGACATAAAGCTGTCGAATTTTAAAAGAAAAATAATAAAAATCATATTACTCTTCACAAAAATATTTGAAAGAAAATATGATTAGTTTTTGGTCTATTGCTGGGATTTTATTTGCACTTACAGTTTTTTAAGTAATTTTAGAAACAATATTATTGAAATTCTCACGCATTATTCAATATAAAATCTGTAGTATTTAAAAATTATTTGAATTCTAAAATGCACCCACATTTATGCAAATTAATCATATGACCGGTCTTCCGAAAGTTATTTAGCTACCGCACCGCAGACTGAACACACTAACCACTGCGACACCTACTGCCAGTTGCACAAACGTCCATTAAAACAGTCCTTAGTTTGAAGCGACATTACCCATACAAATTGGACATTCATTAGAGCTTAAAGACGTCATTAAACCTTAATGGAGGTTTGTGCAACTGACCGCTAGTCTCTCATTAGTCCTACATATTTATAGGTGCAGAATTCTAATATTCTTATTCAATTCCCTTCGTACAAAGTTCATTTCAGTCTATTGCGCTCGTTAGTTTAAGTGTTCCCGATATCGATCCAATATCAGAATAACCATTAAAATCAATTTAAATACAAGAAATAGCTAATGCGACCTGAATTTATCCTTTTGAGTTGACATTGAATAACAGACATTGAAGATATTTTAGTATTGGAACGTGTATATGTTTTACTTTTATTAGATTATGGCGACAAACTCTATATTTACATTTTTAATTATTAGATGTGTTCATGTATTATTTTTCGAAGATCTTTTACTAATTATAACATTTGTTTAAGGATAAATTTATTGTGTCTGTGATTTACTAAATCATACAATTTTTCGATAAATAAAAAAAAATTGCAGTGTGATATTGTAAATGTTTTGTTGATATATTCAAATTCATATATATTAATATATTTCGGTGTATTCAAACAATTTCATTTTCGTAAGCAAAGGAATGGATACTCATTGATTATTTGTTTATTCATCTTAATAAATGATTTTTATCATATGTATATAATAATAATTAAACAATAGTTCTTCTTCTTCTTTTATTATTGGCATATCTGCGCATTTCGAACAATTCTGCCAATGTCAAGGGAATAAATTAATTTCTACATGTAAAATGAAAATGAAATGAATGAAAGATGATCGCCTCTCGAAATAATAGTTATAATGTTATTCCTAATACAAAATGCTTAAAAATCCACTTGGTCCCTAAAATCCTGAGATGGGAATCGAACCCACTACGGCAATTTTCAGTGCGGCATCATGAATGCAAAATTAAACAAAATATATAGTTATAATGTTATATTTGTAAATGAATCTATTGTAACATTCTCTGTTACAAGGTCAATAAAGGAATGCATTGTTTGTACCGTGGACGTATATATTTGCGCTCATGTATATATGACTTTAATTTTTTCATACATGTATCTAGTAAAAAAATAATTCTACCATACGCCTACGGCGGCGTGGCTATTAGCAATTAATTGGATGAAGCTGTTTCGTAAGTAATCTCATTAGTGGCAAAGGCAGGTGAGTCTGCCACCATGGCAGCTATCACCCGCGCGCGTGTACACACTGCTGACTCACATTTAGGAGCTACATTATAGGATTAGTGAATTCCAGTATACACTAGCTGTGAGCGAATTCATTCAATATATAGTTTTAACCTTTAAAAGAACTCGACAGTTAAGTGGTTAGCGCGCTTGATTTGGGATACGGTTATTAAGCAACTTTCTTAATGGTCCGTCACAGGATGGGTAACTGAAAATTTATTATATAGAGCTCATCTGTGCTTCAGCGTCAAGTTGTTGGTCTGAATCTACAGTCGTTCAAATACTGCATAAACAAAGTAAAAGCTCGTAGCTCGGTGGCGTAGTGGATAAGCGCCGCGGCTCGTGATCGTTGTCGTTAAGCAACTTTCGCAAGGGTCGGTCACGGGATGGGTGACCAAAAAAATTATTATCTCGAGTTACTCCGTGCATCGGAAGGCACGATAAGCCGTTCATCCCGGCTGCATTTGCAGTCGTTAATACCTTCTAATCCGCATTGGGCTAGAGTGGTGGGTCATGGCCCATCCTCCTTAACCATCCATAAGGAAGGCCTGAGCCCCTGCAGTGGGGACATAAAACGGCTGATGATGATGATGATGAAAGTAAAAGTTAGATGTTCTAGTTATTACTTCTGTGTACCTATCCTAAGAATAAATGTGAATGTTGTACATGCCTGTTATAGGTGTACACATCAGGTACGTTACTGACTGATTCATTTTAAGTAAATATTGTGTGTGTATGCTGTTGGCGTGTCATAAATAAATAATTAGAAATAGGAATTTCTACAAACCTATTTATTAATAACTACATTTGCTATCGATAACATCAGGATTTTTAATGGAAACCTCTTTTCTGACTGCCAGTAAAGTCACAAATAAATTTATATCTTTTCAGTACCCATACTATAAATGTGCTATAAATCATATTACAAAACTCAACATGTATAAGTGTATAAATGTCTAAATCATAATATCTAATTTATATTCAGAGTAATTTGTTTAAGATTTAGAGAATCTCCCTAATAACATCAAATACATTGTACATAAGTATACTGTACTTGGGAAAGGCAATGCTGAAGAGGAGGAAGAAGTCGTGGATCCAAAATATAAGAGAGTGGATGGGAATAATGTCAAAGTCAAAGTAATATTTATACAAATAGAATTCTTAAAATTACTTTTGAATAGTCCAAAACTTTTTCCCTATCGCTCGTTCAGGACGTCTTTTGGCTGATGAGTAGAACGAATAGCCAACGCAGCCAAGGTGTTCCGACTCGCAGGAACTAGGGACATTAGTAAGCAGCTGATGGCTAACTTTCACTGGTCAGAGTCACTTTAAGAATATCACAATGAATTCATAAATATAGAAAAGTTATAAGACAAATCTTGAAAAGATACCCTTTATAAAGAAATTTGAGAATCGCTCTTGGATACAAATTTACGAACTCACTATCCGTTTAACGAATATTGGGAATATTTCCCCGACAGTTTGTACGTCTATTCTAAAGGCAGGTCACTGTTGATCTCGGGACTACAGAATCTTCGTTTTCATAACATATTGCGTAACGTAGACGTTATTTCGGCAGCCACGTGGTGTTGTTGTCTATGTTCACCAGACTTTGGACTGTGTACAAGCGGACAAATGCTCTCGTTTATTTATACACTGATGAGTGTATTTTTATATCATGTTCGACTATATGTGACCACTGATTGATATAGGTAAAAATATTGCCGGAGCTGTAACTTCTGCAGAAAAAGTTTTAGGATCTTAAAATGTAAATGGTCGTTCAGGTCTCATAAATCATCTG